GATGTCTCGCCCACTCACTGGCACCCCTGCTCCAGGTGCTCACCCTGGCAGCAGAGGATCCCGTCCCCCTTGAGGGCCGTCTTCATGAGCTGGTAATAGGATTCCTTGAAGAGGCTCTCGGCTGGGCCTGCGGGAGGGTGGGACAAGCGACAGTGAACACATTCTGGAGAGACATCCTGAGCCTGGGGTGGGGCAAGGCCCACACAGCTGCCAGGGAGCAGAGCCGGGCTTGAACCCAGGTGTGTGGAATTCAGAAACGAACCATGAAAGGGTGCTTTTGATGGGTACAGGGGCCCATTGCCCCGGAATCTGAGTGGGCACCACGCTTTAACCCCTGTTCCAGGGGGTTCTCATTAGCACTGCATGGGGGCACCTCCACCCAGGGCCTTGGTTTAAAAGGAGAACCCACCTCGCCCTGATGCTAGCCTGAGGCTAAAGAGGAAACTGAGGCCTCTCTGGGCCAAGGCCAGAGCCCCACTCTCCTCCAGGTCCCCAACCAACTGTGAACTTTGGGCAGTGGCCTGGTCCCCCTACTCTACTGAGCCGTGTTTGAGGGGGAGGTGACAACTGAGGAGGAAAATGTGCTGAGCTAGCTCTGGGGGCCCCCTGTCCTCTACTCTGCAACTCAGGCCTGGGAGCAAAGGGGAGGCTGGCTCCTGAAGTGGCAGCTGCTGGAGGGCAGGGCCCACCCCACCCCGTGCTTACCCATGGGGTCCGAGGAGTCAGTGATGATAACATCGAAGGCGTCCTGGTTCTGTTTCATGAACTCAAAACCGTCGCCCACGTGGAGGGTCAGCTTTGAGCTGGAGTAGCCGATGGCCATGCTGGGCAGGAACTTCTTAGAGACCTGAATGACATCCTGGGGCGGGGACAGGGGGGACCAGGCTGGAGCCAGGTGGGACTCCCAGCAGTCCCTTTCATAGCCCGGTCACCTTGGGCCAGCCATTTACTTCGTGGAACCCCTGTTTCCACATCTGTAAAATGGGAAGCACTCTGGGACCTCCTCCCTCAACTTCTCAAGGAGGGTTGGCTCCGACCAGCTCCTCAGCTGAATCTCCACCATTCCTGTTCCCTGCCCCCGATCAAACTGCCCCCTCTGAGCGGCTTCTAGCTGTTTCAGGGGGCGGCGATTCCAGCTTCCGCCAGGAGAGCCTGTCCCTGCCTCACGTGACCCGACGCTGCTCATTCGGGCTCAGCTCACACCCGCCTCCACCCACCTTTCATGCCTTGAACACGTCACCCTTCGCTGTCTCCTTCCAACTAGAAGAGCAGCTCCAACAGGGGCCGGACCTGCCTGCCCACCACTGCACCCCAGCACCCAGAGCCATGGCTGACGCACAGCGGCTGCCCTAGCAGTTGGAATGTCCTTGGGCCTTGAATTAAAAACAGTGCCCAGCCTTACTAAGAACTAGCACACCTACTATGCGCCAGGCCCGCGACTGTCCCCCCAACTTCTCCCAACATGTTTTTAAGACGAAGAAACAGGCCTAGAGATATTAAGTGGCTTGCCCCGGGTTACACAGCCAGTTCAGTGTGGAACAGGAACTTGAACCCAGACCCCCGGCTCTGCTCGGACGGCTCACCTCATCGATCTCGCACTGCACCACGGACTCCACGGAGGAATGCTTCACCACCTCCCGCAGGACACCCCCGTCGCCACCCCCGATGATCAGCACCTGGGAGGAGACGGACAGTCGGGAGCAGGGTCCCCCAGGACGCGGTGGCCTGGGCCCACGGCTGCTCACACAGAACCGCGCAGAGCGAGGGTCCCCAGTGCGGCTCAGCTCCTCTGACCCACAGGCCGCGTTCCTTTATTTTCTCCTCTCAGGCACCTGGCCCCAGGTGTCCCCTTTTCCTGAAAATTCCTTCCCAAGCTTCAGGCCTCAGCCAGAACTCTTGGCTCCTCCCAGAACTGTGCGGGCCCCCACCCACTCCCCTGGTCCTGGCCAGCACTGTCCCCGACACCCCTTTAGGAAGCACCCGGGCTGCACAAAGCGCGCGTGGAGGGTGGGGGTGCGGGGCTCCAGCGCTGTCCCGTGGGGCGCTCAGGGCTGAGCCGCGGCGGGAGGGGGTACCTTGCGTGGGTTGGGGTGGCTGCAGAGCGGCAGGTTGGCTATCATCTCCTGGTAGGAGAACTCGTCCCTCTCGGTGCACTGGATGACGCCGTCCAGCACCAGCACGTTGCCGTAGCTCTTACTGCGGGGCGGGAGTGACAGTCAGGGGCCTGGGTCCCCTGGCGCGGGGGCGGCGTGCCTCCACTTACCCTGGGCAAGAACACTCTCCCCAG